CAAACAATACCGGGTCGATCACCCGGGGCAGGAGATGTAGACGTAGGCTCTTAAGTAGCTGTCTAACCGGGTAGATAGATCCCTTGATAGAATATTAGTGCGAAAGTTCTATCTAGATTTGCTAAATTTCTCCATGTTTCACTGGTAGGCTATTTGCACTACAAACTTGTTTGTGCTCGGAGAGCGTTAGACTCTAGGCTTAGATTGGCTGGACACTGGAATTACGATGTATCCTTAGTGTACAGGAAGTTTTTTGGCTACAGCTCACTAGATTAATGCATCGGAAGGTATTGGGGGCGGTAATTAGGAATAAGTGATGGGAAAACCTTAAGGTTAGGATTAGGTCTTTCACCCCAGAAAGCCAACGCTTCGCTTTAGATAAGGCTAGCAACATAAAGGTACTTAAAGATAGTCTGGTCTGAGCGGAAGCTGGAGTTTCCCCTAGAGGTAGCCTTAATTAGGTAGGCCCTGTGGTGAACGACTATTGAGCGGGGTCAGTTAGTTAGACATAGGTTAAACAATGTCTAACAAAACCGTGAATATGGGCTGAGAATTGTGTAAGAAGAAAATTAGTCGCTGTTCCGATCGTTACCTTCCGCAGGTGAACATCCCCGGATGGGTGTACTCTTCACTCGTGGCGTTTCGGCAGTATTTCCGGAATGGTTTTACCAAAGAGTCGGGTATCTGTGACGAAGAGTTTATCAGTTATTTCGCCAAATTACCTTGACTCGTTGACTGCAGATTCCGGTTACGACAGGGTGATTATAGTGGGCGAAGTCCTCTAGGTATTGAAGAGGGTTGGCAGAGGCAAATCTCCGAGACTTGGTGGTATTCCCTACGAATTGTACTTGAGGCTGTAGCAAATGTTTGTTCCTATTTTGACAGTCGTATTTAACACCTGTTCAGACAGTTCCCAACCGAATCGTCAGGAGAGTGATCACACTGTCCAGAAAGGATAAGCATGTTCGGGGTGGGATTTAGACGACTATAGGCCTACAATTCTACTAAAAACAAAGTTAAAGATTTTGTCCAAAATCCTGACGGAACGTTTGCAGTCAATTGCCGAGATTCTGTTAGGAGCGATGAAGAACCGGACAATTCAGAGCAACCTGCTTCTGATCGGGACGATCCTAGAGGCTGTAGAAGACGACGATGAAGCCGCGCTGATGTATTTGGATCAGTCCAAGGCATTCGACAGCGTCGACCATTAGTACATGGCGACTGTCCTGTAGACCACCAGATTGCAATCCGACTTTTGCAAGTAGAGCAGCCTACTGTATCGCTCCCCCAGTGCTGTGGTAAGCGGTCAAGCGCTTTTGCGCAGTCAAGGTCGGTTCGTCAGGGTGGCTGCTGTCACCTCTATTTTACGCTTTGTCGTCGGAGCCACATCTCCGCCGGGTGAGGGACAGGGCGCAATTCGGCTCTGCGCGAGATCGGTGACACTGGTAGAGCTCGAACCAGGGTTTTCGAAATTAAAGCTAAAATAAAAGAAAATTTTACATTTTAAAAAATGCATTTTTTGATGCCTCTAATATAAATTATAGCATATAATTTGCATTTCCATTGAGCCCCAGCATAGATATATAACTTGCTGATATGTAGACATGTTTATAATTAAGAAAAAAGTCAATTCACTCATTTTCCTTACCACTTTCCCGACATTTTGCAACAAGAATCTTCGAAGTGAAGAAGGATATTATCATTCTTTGAATAGAGTAACCAAAATTTGAACTCAGAATCAAAACCAAATTTGGCAACAAGAGATTTCTTCAGTATCTGTCTGAGATGAGATATTATGTACACTATTTAAATTATTCGGACTATTGGCCTCATCTTTGTCGCCATATTTATTACAACGTTTGATATATATATATATGTGTGTGTGTGTGTGTGTGTGTGTGTGTGTGTGTGTGTGTGTGCGTGTGTGTGTGTGTGTGTGTGTGTGAGAGAGAATTCGAGAGGATCACAGTAAAATAAATAGGCATATATCAAGATTATTCAACTAAACATGCTTGAATATATATATATATATATATATATATATATATATATATATATATATATATATATACATTATTTACGTTATTGGGACTATTGTCCTCATCTTTGTCGCCATATTTATCACAACGTTTCGGCCGTTGTACGCTCCGGCCTTCTTCAGGTGGTTGAAATGTCGAACTGAACCCTTTATTTCGCTCACTGGGGTAGACTGTTCTAGTACCACGTGCCATATTTTAATGGATGTCAGTTTTCAGTTATCTCCTGTTACTTCCTCTCTGAAAGTTCTCCACTGCCTTAACCGGTTATTGAAGTCGCACTCTTTGGTTCCTGTCACTGGATCTAACCAACGCCTCTATCCACAGTGCCATGTGTCCTTGAGGTCTCTTCGTTGTTATTATTATTCCAAGTATGAGTGGATGACGGGATCTTTTGTCATCATCAGAACACATTGACAGCTACTGGCAATTAAGATTTGAATAATCTGATTAAAACACTGACGAGACAGAAAATTCCATAACAATCTGAATTCCATAATTGCTTTGAAAAGCTTTGGCCGAAAAAGTAATTGATACAGCGATCGATCACTGGAAAACAGCTTCGATTCATTTTTTTAAAAGACGAGAGAGCGCTTTTTCTCACATTAAAATTTGTTAATAACATATTCACAGATACGGGTGGGTCAGCAATATCCTATTACAAGACAGGACTTCTTTGGTAACAAATAAAAGTGTACCGAACTGGTATCTGTCCTCCTTTACGGCAGCGAATGTTGGACGGTCTCCTCAAAGATGAAGAAATGACTCGAGGCGGCGGAAGTATGGTTCTATAGAAGGATGCTAAGGTGTGAGCAACGATGAAGTTTTGGATAGGACGCAAACACGGAGGAAGTTTATACTTAACATCCGAAAGAGGCAGCTGAAATTTCTGGAACATTTAATGAGAAAGTAGGGCTTGGAGAATATGATACTCACAGGTCGAATAGAGAGAAAGACAGACAAAGGAAAGCAACGCATGGCATACCTAGCGGACTTAAGCAAGTGGAGGACAGAACAGGGCCTGGGGAAGTAGCAAAGGGAGATAACTTATTGAGAGCTAGAAGAGATAGGGGGTAAGTCGTCATTCATTATTGTCTACGTCCTGAAGGGACACGGTACATAAAAAGAAAGAAGAAGAATATCCTAGTGGGGAGAGAGAGAAAAAAGTTCCACTGCCCCACTGTCTGCCTTGGCGAGTGAACTGTACATGAACAGCAGGCCCTACTTTCAAATTCACCCTTCGCTATTGATTTTATATAACATTACAACAGTCATTTATTTGAAACTTTATATTCAACTGGTCGCTGAGATTTCCCGTTTTTATTAATAACTGAACTGATTTCTTCATATAACAAGTCCGTGAATATTCTCTAGTCCTTTTGTAATATCTAAACTTATATCTATTTTTCTTGGCGGGTATTTCCACTTGTAACAGTAAGTACTACCTCGGTGTCATAGTCTAAATATCGTCTGCCTTCTGAAGTAGTAACACATATGCATTTGAACAAACAAATCAACAATGGCCTCAAGCAATGGTGAGTATCCGTTGATATATTTAATACCGTTTAAAATTTGTACATACATGTTTATACATACATATATATATATATATATATATATATATATATATATATATATATATATATATATATATATATATATATATATATATACTATATCTTAAACGGATATAAAACATAAGTAGAATATACATTATTATATCACGAAGACTGCAAGTAGGTTTCTAGGTTTACTTACTGTAAGTATCAAAATGTTACACACACACAGAAATATATATATATATATATATATATATATATATATATATATATATATATATATATATATATATATATATATAGTACAGGTAATCGTTCCGTTGGTACATAATCCGGGTGGATCCTAGTAATATTAATTATCAAAACTGCTCCACAAAGTGCTCGATGTTTTTACTTTGACAGAGCATATGTATTTAAAAAAATATAGACAAGAATAGACAAAAGAAGATTCACGGACATTTTTTTTTATATATATATATATATATATATATATATATATATATATATATATATATATATACTTTCTTTTGTTCACAGTCGGCCATATTACGAAAAAATCTGACAAAATAAAACATAAACGTAATAAAGTTTTAAGTTTTTGTTTAAGTATTCTATCTTTCTCGCTCACACTCACAATATCTATCTGACTCTCTCTCTCTCTCTCTAACATACGCACATGTGTGTATTTTCATTCTCTCAATAATACATGTTTAATTGAATATGACTGAAAAAAGTACTGCTAAATTCTTCTTGTGAACGAACAAGTTATTTGTTTTTGGACGTCGTATATGTAAAAGTTCCCCAAAGTTTTTCGTTGTGAACCCATTCGGATAATCTATTAACTGTTGTCAAGAGTGTGCAGGTGGTTGGGATGTAGACATATTTTTAATTCCCGAAGGAACCATTTAAATTAGCAGAAAAAAAAGTATACCATCTTCGATATTTAAAATATTTGCCCAAATCCAAAACGTAATAAAACAACAAAAACTAACCCTACCCTAAACAACATCAACGACAGTCATGCACTATGGGTATTCGAGAATTATAAACATGTTTATCAGCAAATTACATATCTATCTATCTATCTATCTATCTATCTATCTATCTATAAATCCACCGCCTGTTCTTTATCTATCTATCTTGTAAAAATAATAGAAGCATTCTTTATGAAAAATAAAAACTAATCCCTAAACAACATTAACTGAAAAGACGACCACCCTGTACTGCGAGTATTCGACAATTATAAACATGTTTATCAGCAAATTATCTATCTATCTATCTATCTATCTATCTCTTTCTATAAATCCAACGCCTGTTCATTATCTATCTATCTATCTATCTATCTATCTTACTTAGCGGGTATTTCCACTTGTAGTAGTAGGTATTTCCTTGGCGTCACAGTCTAATGGTCGCCTGCCTTCTGAAGTAGTATCACATGTAGTTGAATAAACTAATCTAATCAACAATGGCCTCAAGCAGTGGTAAGTATCAGTTGATATGTTATTTTACACAGAGACATATTTTATGTAACACAAGTAGAATTTAGATATTTTGTAGAAAGTATTACTTAAATGTATGTCTCAAGATGTTATATGTTTTCTTTGTTCACAGTCGACAATATATGTCATAAAAAAAGAAAATCTGCCAAAATAAAATATAAACGTTGTAATAAAATTTTGTGTTTTTAGTTAAATATACTTTCTCACTCTCTTTCTCACACTCGCCCTTTCTCTCACTCTCTCACTCTCTCTGACACATAAGTTTTCAAAAGATAAAAATTAAAATCGAAATCTTTGTGTCATTATCAACAGAGAAAAATCAAAGTGCTTTTACGTAAAATTATTTATTCTAACATTGAAAATTTTTGTTAAAAATCTTGTTTTGTCGAGTGTCACGCTTTAAGGTGAAAACAAAAATATTGATTTTAAATTCTTGCCAAAATCAGATAATTTCTGGAATTTAATTAAACTTCTTGTTTTGGTTTTTAATTTTTTTAGGATTTGTTTAAAATATGTATTCTTTGGTTTAGTTTGGTTTGGTTTATTTTGTTTTACATATCAACCTCAATGGATTATTTAATGCCGACAAGATTTTTATTGCTGGTAATGGATTTTTTTTTTTTTTTTTAAAACGTATTGCTGGTAATATTTTTTCTTTAAAAATATACTGCTGGAAAAATTTTTTCTAAAAAAATATTGCTGGTATTAAAACCTATTTTTATACTTGCATGGAGTTTTGACAACTTTTGGAAGGTTAACTATTTTGTCCATAGCTGAGACCTTGGCCCCTCAAAAACTTCTAATCAAAGGCCTTGCTGCCGGATGTAGTTTATTGTCTTACCCAGGGACCTGTATGTAGTTTATTGTCATACTCAGGAAGGTTAATTTGCTCGACTTATTCGGAAATAAATTATTTTTGAAAAAAAATTATTTTACATCTGAAATCTTATAAAACTTCGATAAATTATTTTTTGTATTGCTTAATGTTTATATTTCTTATAAAGACAAGTCCTCAGAGAACTTAAACAATCAAATATCTTTGGTCAAACAGGCTCACAAGTTGCAAAAAAATTAAGTCGTAAAAATATGTAAAGAAACCAAAACATTATTTAATTAGAAGGGCTTTTAATTGATTTTATGAATAAAACATATTATGAACACTATTTGCTTATATGTCTGTTTATGTATATATATATATATATATATATATATATATATATATATATATATATATATACAAAGAAATAATCACGCATAGAATCAATCAGCAATATTAATGCTATTATTGGCGACATCCATCGCTAGTAGTGTATAATGTATGCATTAAAATACTGTTAATCCATAGAGTGATGTGATCCTCATTCATAAAACTGTTGTCTGTTGTTTCCAGTTTATATTTTTTTAAAATGCAAGTACTTTCGAATAATCCTTTATTCATCGTCAGGCATATCTTTTCCTTATAAAATCAAAAACTTGGAGACGAAATAATATAAAATATAAAAATATAGATAATATATAAAAAAACTATCGATCCGCAGTACAAAAAAATTCCTATAAAAAAACTAAAAAAATTACTACTAAGACATAACACTATATTAATTGAACTATATACTTAGTTCATGACATATTAACTGAAAACACTTGTAAAAATAGAATACGTGGATTTACCCCATCACAAGAAAAGTTCAAATAAAATTCTCACTTAAAATTTTGAAAAACTTAGCGTTGCGTCTTTGCACGTTCCGAGATTGTACACAACCGTCAATAATAGCAGATTCTAAAAAAAAACAACTTTCGGTCGACAAACAGTTATTGAAACGTAATATTCTGTTTTTACGATTTGGTTGTAATTTTTCGAAACTGGAGGTTTTAGATTATTTACATTATTCGGACTATTGTCCTCATCTTTGTCGCCCTATTTATTACAACGTTTCGGCCATTGTACGCTCCGGCCTTCTTCAGGTGTTTGGAATGTCGAACTGAACCCTTTATGGCGATAAAGATGAGGACAATAGTCCGAATAATGTAAATAATGTACATAATACCTCATCTCAAAAATATAGACAGATACTGGATGTTTTAGAGTTGTAATGTTTATTTTGTTTATCTTCCTTTAACCAATAGCTCATTATCGCTGGATTCTATATCTATTAGTATTTATATTCAGAGACTCTTTTAATACCATTTCGTGTAATTTTAATTCTTTTACATTTTCTTATTTATTAATTGTAAAGTAATGTATTTCAAATTTGTTGGGAAAGCGTTTTCCATTATAACGTTATTTTCTTTCGTTTACTATTAATCAATTTGCTTTTATTATTTATTATTTATTTATTTCAATTATTTACAAAAACAACAACAACAACAATAATAATTATAATGGATAGTTAAATATATTTGTACATGGGATGGATGTATATCTTTATATATATATGTATTTACAGTGAATCATAGATGTGTGTATATGTCTATATGTGATGTTATATTATTTGTGTATGCTTTAGAGTAAAATATAAATAGGGTATATTGGAAATTATATATGCATATGCATATGTGAGTGCATATATACACACTAGAGTTCAAAAGTTTAAGGAAATCCCTGGACATTTTTTTAAATTTGCCCAAAATGGTTTTTGTACTTTAAATAAGAGATAATTAATATAAATGACGAAAAATTGAAACATGCTTTTTTTATTAGAAATTTTATTATGCCCCCAAAATAAAAGCATGTTATGATTAAATTTTGCTCTTGTCAAAATATCCTCCTTTACACTAGATTACTGCAGCACAAATTTTTTGGCATTCGTTGCGAAAGTTTCTCAAAGTATAAGTTTGATAATTGATTCTATTCTTTCTTCAATGACTTTAAAAGATCTCCTTCATTTTTATTTCCCTAGTCTGTCAAGTTCATCGCATGCTAATTCTGGGTGGCTACAAACTTTTGAACTGTAATATATATATATATATATATATATATATATATATCAAACCTAGTATATCAGACAAACCTACCCAGGTTTCACCTAAGCGGTTCGTCAGGGAAAGCTGGCTCACTAGGTTTGACTAGGTCTGCTCTACGGTTGTATTGAGCTCTTTTGTTAGTTCTTTACTCGTGTCGGGTTTTTTTCTTTGGGCTTTGAACCTGCATCTGTGCGATTTTTTCGACAGACTTTCATGTTCCTGGCTCTTTCTTTTTTTAAAACTTTTTTCCTTCGAGATTGATTTGATTATTGGCAAATAAAAAAATTTCGGGTTTTTCGAGACGAGTATAGTTACCTATATATATATATATATATATATATATATATATATATATATATATATATATATATATAATAATATTAGTGGCCAATATATATATATATATATATATATATATATATGTGTGTGTATGCTGAATACTGAGCAAATTGGAGGAGCGCCTGCTACCAAGGTATAACTAACTTTGAAAAGAATCGTCTCAACCATCTGAGAGAATTAAGAATTAACACTAAATCTCGGGCCATTACATCAGCCCATACGACGGCCAACCTTTCAGTCTGCACTTCGTGTGGATTTATTCGCAAATCCCGTGCAGGATTGTTGTCTCATACAAAACATAAACATAAAAACTGAACTGAAAGACAGTCATACGTCGAAAAGGAGGGATAGTACATGATCATCATTATATATATATATATATATATATATATATATATATATATATATATATATATATAAGTGAACATTAAAGTCAACACAGTGACAGGCTGTTTCATGATCGACGCAATCGTCAAGCCTGACGATTGCGTCTAGCATGAAACAGCCTGTCGCCCCTGAGTGTTGACTTCAATATTCACTTTTATATTTACATAAGCTCTATCTCTGATATTGAGCACTTTACCACATAAATGTAGCACGCCTTAAAACTATATTTCTTCATACATACATACATATATATATATATATATATATATATATATATATATATATATATATATATATATATATATATATATATATGAATAATTTGTTTATGCTTCTCCAGACAATCATACAACAGCGGGTTTCACGACAAAATGGAAAGTATTAGAGATATTAGCCATATGAAGCGATTTCGTTCATGACTAGGCTAAATTCATACCCCCTCACTGGATTTGCACACAAAGATACCCCGGATGACTTTTCTGTATGCTGGCTTTCACCTGAGAAGGAACTTCATATGCGCATTTTTCAGTAAGAAGTGTAAAGTTTCCCCTCTACGTGGCGTCGCAAAGAAAATCCCAAAATGTATTCTAGTCATTACGTTTGCAGCAGAAAGAAGTCTGGTGGACAGTCGTCAAAGGAAATATCAACAGATACTACAGTGTGACCCGAATTGCCATGAGTTCAGATTTGCAAACATGACAAGATTAAGGATAGGAGTTAAATAACAAATCTAGTGAGGAGGAATGTTGTTCAGAGTTATATGTGAAAGAAGTAGGGGGAGTAGACTATTTGACGGAGAAAATGACCGATAGAAAAATTAAATATTGAATACAAGCAACATAAGTGATACTAAAAAGATTAAGCCACTTGACGTGGTGAACATTAAAATCGCTAAGCACAAAGATGACAGAGGGCCATTGCTACAGTCCTGGGAAGAAGGGGAGAAATAAAAGAAAAACTGTAATCAGAGTATATAATAATAATATAATAATAATATAACAATATAATAATAATATGATAATAATATAATAATAATATAATAATAATATAATTATAATATAATAATAATTTAATAATAATATAATAATAATATAATTATATAATAATAATTTAATAATAATAATAATATAATAGTATAATAATAATATAATAATAATAATATAATAATATAATAATGATATAATAATAATATAATATAATTATAATATAATAATAATTTAATAATAATATAATAATAGTAATATAATAGTATAATAATATAATAATAATATAGTAATATAATAATGATATAATAATAATATAATAATATAATTATAAGAAAATAATAATCTAATAATAATAATATAATAGTATAAGAATATAACAGTATAATAATATAATAATAATATAATAGTATAATAATAATATAATAATAATATAATAGTATAATAATATAATAATAATATAATAATAATATAATAGTATAATAATATAATAATAATATAATAATAATATAATAATAATATAATAATATAATAATAATAATATAATTATAATATAATAATAATTTAATAATAATATGATAATAATAATATAATAGTATAATAATATAATAATACTATAATAATAATATAATAATAATATAATAGTATAATAATAATATAATAATATAATAATAATATGATATATAATAGTAATAATAATATTCAAAAGCACACAGAAGAATCATTCGGGGACCCAGGAGACAACTAACTGGCCACTAAAATATTTCAAGATTTGAAAATAAAAAAATGCAACTGATTTTTTAAAATGGTATCGGTCAAGTTAACATCGTATTTATACTATGGACAAGACACCAATTTCTAAACATCAATACTGACACTCACCACCGTCACTGATAAAGATTTTCCCCTATTTGTGTTACGAGGGGGGACCTCTAAATTTCAGTAGTACCCGCCTATATGTTTCTATAAATCTATTCGTCAATTCATTATTTATCTATCTGCTTATTATCTATCTCTGTATCTATCTATGTAATCTATCTATAAATGCCTGTTTATTATCTATCTATCTATCTATCTATCTATCTATCTATCTATCTATCTATCTCAGCCTGTTTATTATCTAAGTAAAAGTGTACCTTGAAGAGAGATATTCATTCCTTCTTTTGTGAAGACTAATGCAATATAGTGATTTTCCAAGCGTAGCTTAGATGTGACACAAAGCCGAAAGTAGTGGGCACCCAGTGAGGATCGAATTCACAACTCAGTCGTAATTGTCCTAGCGAGACAAGCTTGCTAACCATTACGCCACCTCAATACAACATATACTCCCTAGAATTTCTTGTATTTAGCTGTCCCTTGTCGAATTAAAATAAGGCATAGCTACTAGCATACTGTAAATTAGGTACCGCCAAACATTCGGTAAAGGTTCAAATGTATTTTTCATAAAGGAAAAATCCTTCTCGAAGCTTTCCCCCAGCTTCAATTGAAAGGTAAAGGATTACATTTTCTAATTCCAGAAAAAAATACCGTGGAGTATTTCAAATAGAAATTTGAATGATTTTTAGTCGATTCTTCCGAAAAACCAATCAAAACAGCCATTTTTAACTTTTTTAGAGAAATTTACACAAAACTTATTTTTTCCTTTTTAAAAATCCTGCTAAAATAAGATATACTTTCTGAAACGTTACTTTCGTAAAATTAGCAAATTTAAAGTTAAATTAATGTTTTGAAACAAATATCACTTACAGCATAAGATTTTTCTAGACAAACATTTCTTGTCCTCGGTGTATTGTTATTTTTACGTCTCCATCAATAATTTGATGGTTGAATGTGTTGACAGGTTTAGTACGGTGCACCAAAATTGATATAACGGTTTTTTTTGTTTCTTATAATAATTTAAAATACTATAAAAATTTCTTACATTATTGAGTATTCTCTATAATGGTATTTCATTATTTAATAGCTAAGATAATAAATAATTTTATTAATTATTAATATTACATTAAGTTATGAGATTTTTAATTTAATAACTTAGATAATAATAAAATTATTATTATATTAATAATTGAAATATCTCACTCAGTTATTAATTGTTTCAATTGATAAATGAGACAATTTTATTATCTCAATTTCATTTTTAATTTAATAACTGAAAGTGAGATAAGCCGAAGACCTTTATATAGTCAAGGGGCTTTCTCTAAGGCGGAGACAAGCCTTGAAACACGTGATCTTTTAACCATAATATCACTTACGAGATATCATACTAAAAAAAATATAACATTTTGACGCAAAAAATAGCTATAATTATGGTAAGAAGCATGATGGTATTAAGCTTTTAATTTTCGCTTAGTAAATATAGTCTTCACTTAATAACCTACCTCATAATTTCTGTGGAAAAATTTTAAAACTTTTTAAAATTAAAGAAAACTAAAAAAAAAAAACTAAGAAAAATGCAAAAAATTCTTGTAAAAATTCTTTATTCATCGAAAATTTTTTCTACAGATAATAATGTCCTTGATTATTTATAAAAGCAAATGAAAGCCTATCTGATTCGATAATTAGATAGTTTATTGTAGTTTTTATTTTACGATTTGGAGTAGATTTTTTAAAATGTTGGCAGTAGTTGTGAAAAAACAATTAATGATTTACTTTCTCTATGGAGTCCTGCTTATAAGTAATATAAAACAATTTCCGAACTATTTGAAATTTTAGAAATTCCATAAAATTAAATTGGGGTTAGGTAACAGATGTAAAAAAAACATTTTTAGCAAGATTTCCTAAAAATAAAAAAAATACATTCTGAAATAATCCTGAAAGTTTCATTAAAATCAGAAAATCAGTTCATTTTTGAAAGAATTTCCAAATTAATGGATTCCCCACCCCCGAAATGGCTACCCTAAAATGGCCATTACCACAAGTAGTACAAAGTTGACAAAAAAAATTAATAAATAAACGAGATTTTTGACCCAAATTTAGGACGTGTTAGAAAGAAGGCAAATATTTTTTTTTAAATTGACTAAAAAATACTTTGTTCTTTCTTCCTAATAATAACATAAACATTTTGATGATAAAATTTTGTTTTTTATTAAGTCTTGTGCCTTTTATCATTATGTTATACTGATTTTTAGCTAATTATTGAAGGTACCTACTGTAAATATCTGTCTGGTCTCGTCATTTCTCAACCTATTTAACTTCGAGCCGATTTAGTTTCTTCAGGTATTTCAAATGATTCGAGGTCAAGTCAAATATATGGATTCCTACTGCTGTTTTTTTTTCTTTTTTGTTGACAGCCGATATCCCTAAATAAAAACAAAATGTTGGCTGGGTTTGATATTAACGACGAAAGTAACATGGGCATAAAAGGAATGATGATCATTTATCTAGAATTAAGTACTCAAGAAGTTTACATTAACTTTGTCTTTCTATCATTTTCATTTCCTATTAACACGCTCGCTCTTTATTGTCATAGTTTCTAGCTGTAAGATTTAAGTCAAGCATTATCAAATCTCATCTCTAATAAAATATAAAAGTTGTAATAATGCTTAAATAAAATTTAAAACTTGTAATAAAGTTTATATATAATATAAAGGGGATAATGATTTTAAAATAAAGTATAAACGCTGTAATAATGTTTAAATAAAATGTAAAATTTATAATAATATTAATATGTAATATAAAGGTGGTAATGATTTTAGAATAAAATATAAACCTTTTTAATAATGATTATAATATAATGGTTGTAATAATTTTTATATAATGTATAAAAGCTGTAATAATGTTTATAAAAAATATAAAGGTAGTAATGATTTTAAAATAAAATATAAACCTTTTATATAATGCTTTTATAAAATATAATGGCTGTAATAATTTTTATATAAAGTATAAAAGCTGTAATAATGTTTATATAAAATATAAAGGTAGTAATGATTTTAAAATAAAATATAAACCTTTTATATAATGCTTTTATAAAATATAATGGCTGTAATAATTTTTATATAAAGTATAAAAGCTGTAATAATGTTTATATAAAATATAAAGGTAGTAATGGTTTTAAAATAAAATATAAAACTTTTTAATAATGTTTATATATAATATAATGGTTATAATAATTTTATATAAAGTATAAAAGCTGTAATAATGTTTAGATATAATAATATAAATATAATAATGATTTTAGAATAAAATATAAACGTTTTAATAATGTTTATATATACTATAATGGTTGCAATAATTTTCATATGAAGTATAAACGCTGTAATATGGTTTATATAAAATACAAAGGTGGTAATGATTTTAAAATGAAATATAAACATTTTGATGTGTATATAAAATATAAACCTTTTAATACTGTTTAAATAAAGTGTAAACGTTGTAATAATGTTTAAGCAAAATATAAACCTTGTAATAATGTTTATATAAAATATAAACCAGTTAATAATGCTTACATTAATTAAAAGAAGCTTTTAATAATGTTTAAATAAAGTATAAACGTTTAATACATTTTACTTTAAATATAAACGCTGTAATAATTTTATATATAATATAGAACTTTTACTAATGATATTTAGACTTTGTGGTTAAATACTCTCTCTTTTTCATTTCTCCCGCTCTGTCTCTGTCTGTCTGTCTGTCTGTCTGTCTGTCTGTCTCTCATAGATGCACATACATACATATATGTAATTTATAAAGAATTAAAAAGAAAAAAATCCAGGATACTTATATCTCTAAAAAGGAACTGTTTGCCTGTTTTGTCGACCTCACAGCAGCCTATGACCACATCAATAGAAACTTTCTCTTCCCATCCATTAGTAACCGCCTTTCATGTTTCGAATCCACTGAATATATCGATCTACAGAATCTTACAAGTTTGTCGAAGACCCCAATGCGAAAACATTTCAGAACTCATCAGGAGGACGACAAGAAGGACATGAGAGCCACAGTCTATTTAATCTCTTCCTAGACTATGTCCTACGCATTTACAAACACAGATGTGATGAGATGGGCACTGCTCAGTTAAAAATTCCATATTACCTGTCTATGTTTCTGAGATGAGGTATTGCAATTAATTACACTATTTACATTGTTCGGATTGTTGTCCTCAACTTTATTGCCATATTCACGACATTTCGGTCGTTGTATGCTCCGGCCTTCTTCAAGTGATTGGAATTTTGAATTGAACACTTTATTTTATCCACCGGGGTAGATTGTCCTCAAGGACGCATGGCCCAGAGGATAAAAGCGTTGGTTGAATTAATCTAATGACTTCATCCCAAGAGTTGTGAATTAAATACCTGGCGACATCAGAGACGAACCAAAAAATTGATATAACCATATCAATAGAAACTTCCTATACTCATCCATTATAAAGTGCCTTCTACGCTCCGATCCCGCTAAATGCATCGATCTAATACAGAATCTTACATGTCTTGTGGGGACCACAATACGCAAACATTTCGAACTTCATCAGGAGTACGACAAGGAGAAAATGAGAGCCCCGGTCTATTTAATCTCTTCTTAGACTATGACCTACACATTTACAAACAAAGATGTGATGAGATGGGCACTGAACATTTAAAAATTCTATACTGCATCCAAAACGAATTTAGAATAAATATAATGAAAAACTCCGGGAAAATGCTTACCTCTCTAAAAGGAGTTTGCCTGCTTTGTCGACCTCACAGCAGCCTATGACCACATCAATTGAAACTCTCTCTTCGCATCCGTTAGAAAGCGTCTTCCATGTTTTGTGTCCACTGAATATATCGATCTACAGAATCTTACAGTTTTGTCAAGGACCCCAATGCGGAAACATTTCAGAACTTCATCAGGAGGACAACAAGGAGGAAATGAGGGCTTTAGTTTATTTAATCTCTTCCTAGGCTATGCCCTTTTATAAACACAGATGTGATGAGATGGGCACTGATCATTTTAACACTCCATACTGCAAACGAATCTATCAATAGAAGATAATATCCTGCTTTCTTTCACGGTGATGAGATAGTGGTGATGGTGGTGGGGAGTCTATGCCGACGACTTAGGTATTCATAGTTGGTATAAAATGATCTTGAATAGAAAATCAACATCGTCTATCAAGTGTTTCAAGAAATGGGACTCGATAAACCTTTCCAAACTATAAGCTTGAGTTGGAATAGAAGCTTTGATGGCACCCTGAATCAAGCATAAAATTCGGGATGTGGAATTAGTAACTACTAAAGTACTCAAACATCTCAATGTATGGATCATCTATAACAAATTACGTATAGGAGAAAAATAAACTGTTTCTATCTATCTATCTATCTATCTATCTATCTATCTATCTGTTTTTTCACTGTCTATCTATCTATCTATCTATCTATCTATCTATCTTTTTCACTACGAAGAAATGTTCTACCATTGTGCTCTTACTGTTCTGTTTTCTCTCTTTTGTAGATACGAATGGAATCCTTTTCATCTTCGAGTCAGACGGCTATGACTGGGCCAATCATCTTTCATCACTTCTTATTAACGAGTACGACATCCAATGTTTCATAGAGCACTGGTGGAATCTCAATGAACAGATTGCATCATCTTACCCGGTGCATGTACTTTTGCTCTCACCTCTCATGGAACCCCACACCAGACACAAGAAATTCTCCTACCTTAGAAACGAGTCACAATCGTCGTTACTCTTAGAATGCAATGTCATCTCGAATGAACTTCAAATGTCTCGGTGGGCCAGAACAAAAGCGCTTGATGTCACTTCGGAGGTACAGCGGGACATATTAGTAACACTTGTGGAAATGTACGAAATGGAAACGAATGACCATGACGGTTTTAATTCGGAAGAACTTGTTCACATGGATATTGTACCAACGCATTTATATCCGGTAAAAATCGATACTTTGTTCTTGCAAATGCTTCTACGGTTGCTTTGCTGCTTAATTTTGCTTAAATATGCTAATTTCTTTGCCTGTTAGCAAAGAGTACATTAATTCTAAATTGTAACATAGAATTACAACCATTAAGCTGTTATATATTTAGAGATTCTTGATAAAATCCCCAGAAAAAACAGCAATGTTATTTGTCCTGACCAGGCATACCGATCACAGTCACCTTCCCAATGTGGCTTTCTTGTGTTTTTTTTTCTATAAATACTTTCATGTTAATTGTTCAGATAATCTTTCCTCCATGGGGCCTAGATTTATGAATTTGAGCGCAGTACTAGATTGGCGGCGAGGTCTCATCATTTTACATTTAAAATGGCTAAATAAAAACGTAATTTCTATGCTAACAGTTTATTTTCGCTTAATGTTATTTTCTGTCAGGTTTGAGCTTCAAAAATTTAAATACAATGTCAATCGTTGTCTACTGTCATTTTTAATTCAAGTTCTTTTATTGTTCTTGTTCCTTATTAATGTTTTTCTTTTATTCTTTTATATTCAGAAACTCATTATTTCGCAGTGGCTTACTTGCCTTGCTTGGAGTGAAATGAAAGAAAAAAACAAACAAAAGCTAGGAAGCAAAAATTGTTGCATTTTTAGATTGAAAGAAACAAATTCTTCTTTGGTTTTAATTAATATCTCTATTGAAGTTATTAGGTTGGAAAGAATGTACACACACACACACACACACACACACACACACACACACACATATATATATATATATATATATTGTTGAAGCTCGGATAAGCATGGAATAATAATAATACAACACAAAATGTACGTAAACAAAATGTATTGAAACAAGGAAAAGGTACACAATATTTACAGTTAGTTTTGGTATATTCTTGTAAAGACTGTTCTTGTAGAATGGGTTGACTTAATCGCAGTCGGGCAGAGTCTCTGGATTGGATCTCTTGTTACTTCCCTCGTCTTCCCGGTACCAACCCATATTTATATGGTCGGTACTCCACTATGTAAATTAGGTGGATCGTACCACAACATATATATATATGTGTGTGTGTGTGTGTGTGTGTGTGCACGTGTGTGTGTGTGTGTGTGTGTGTATTTAGGCAGCAAATTCTCTTTTAGGCATGTCTGATTGAATAAATTACAGACATTATACTTGCTAATTTTTTTTAAACAAAATCCGTTCATACTCACAAATAACCTTCCGTATACTTATGTTAAATGGATGAGAGAAATGTGCTATAGCTGCTTAAATTTCTTTTATTTTCATTTACCAATTACTTTCGATTTACTTCCAAGATCATCTTCAGGGGTTCATGTAGTACAAAACTATATGTTGTTCGTTTGTACAAGTATTTATACAAAGTTGTGCGTTGTTATCCATTACCGTAATTTTTTCATTATACTTTTAACTGCAAACCAGTTGATAATGTGCTAAGCGTTCATTAGAACGTGAAAAAATTATCCATTATGGATTTTTTTTAATGTTATAATGTCATGGTCATGCGCGCATTAAAGCATGAAAAAACTGTTTCTTTACAGGCATTTCAGAACATTGCTGTAGTATTCATAGTTGAATCTGTTCAATGCCGGATTTAATTTTTTTAAATATAAATTGTTTCTAGTAATGTAATCTAAATTTGTTGTTTTCATAGAATAGGATAGTTGTATTGTTGATTAGTAATTGTTTATATTGTGAATGCGGACATGAATGTTGTTGTAGATGTCTCACAATAGACGAATGGTCAGACACGTGTAAGGTAAGCCGTCTTGTTAGTGTATTTGTAGTATACCCAACATATATGTTTTGTTTTTTGTTTTTTTTGTCGGAGATACATTCTCCCAAGGGACATTTAAATTGATATATAAAGTTGGTTTTACGTAAGACATCAGTTAGTGGGGAGTTTTTTTGCGAATAATTAAATTTGTTGTAAAGTATTTTTTTATAATATATGATTAATTATATTTTTTTATTAGAAATCTTGGAGGATATATTAGTATAAATAAGATTCTTTATGATTTTTCCATCCTGTTTGTAGTAAGCATGCATCTGGTTTCAATATAGTAGTTTAATATATTTAGTGTCTTTTGGGCAAGTACTATATTCTATTTGATATCCGTTGAGGTTTTTTATATATCGTCTTATTTGTTCATCTACAATGTGCTTTGGGAAGACATTAATAATGACAGTCTGCTTAATATTTTTAGTTCCGTGTATAAAATCTTTTTTTTTTTTGGAGGAATTAATTTGTGCTCGGTTAATTAAATTCTGTATAAGTGTTATTTTGTAGTAATCTGGACATTCACTCTTATAGTTACGAGTGCAAGAGTTTTTGCTGGTTGTTTTTTTTTATACGTAGAGATAGTAAATGTGTTGTTATTTTTGTCTATTAAAATATCAAGAAAAGGGATTTTGTTATCTTTGTTAAGTTCGTATATGAACTTGAGGAAGGAGTTTTTTTGAAAGATTTTTTTGAGTTCCATTATTTCTTCTATGTTTTAATTAAAATAAATATATCATCTTCATATCTTAGGTAGATGGAGGGTTTCTTGGTGGTACTAAATATATTATTTTCTAGGTTGGCCATGTAGAACTTACTGAAGGCTGGACCCCAAACTGAACCTATTGAAACACCATCACGTTGCACATATACGTTATTTCTGTGATCATAAAATGGGACATCAGTGGTACAAGTTAAAAGTAATTTTCTTAATATTTAGGCTTATTTTTTAATGGGGGTAGAGATGAATTATTATATATATATTTAATAATGATGTCAATGGTTTCTCTAACTGGAATGTTAGTGAATAGATTTTCAACGTCAAATGATGCTATGGTTTCATTATTAGGTTTTTCGGATTTTAATATTTGTATAAGTTCAAGGGCTGATTTAATGCTATATTCGTTAGGTATGTAAGATTCCTAAATTTGCTGTGATCAAGTAACTGTTCAATTTTTGAGTTGAAGTCTGACTTGTTTAAAGCAACAAAGATGATTGCTTTATCAGCTTTTTTTAATTACTATTTCTGGGTGGTTGTGTAATTCTTTTGCAGAAATCTTTAGTGATTTATTTAGGAATTTAGATGATTTTTTCCTTTTATCATGTCTGTCTTTTATAGAAGCAGAAATGCATAATCTAATTAAGGATGAATCTATCTTATCTATCTATCTATCTATCTATCTCTCAATATATATATATATATATATATATATATATATATATATATATATATATATATATTGTTAGATATATAGATAGCTATGTGATAAAATATAATTTCATGGCAAGCAATATTTATGTCTAAAAGTGTTTAGGCCTGAAGAATTCTTCAAGTATGAAACAGACTGTCGTCACTCGGTGATGATATCACTGGCCAATTACATATATTCAGAGTACCTCCAGAAGATAATTAATCCTTTTATAGATTCTTTAAGTAGATCACGGATTTCTGGTTCTGTGGTAATTAGCTGCTGTTTCTGGAGTTTAATTATATTTTGGTATGATGTTTCCATCTCAACTTTTTTTATGTAGTCCATTATATTTTTTCGATATATGACAGATCCTAGGTTGAGTCGATCTCTTTGGTTGTCAGTTAAATCATAGTCAGAGATGTTTATAAATCTTTCAAAGTTATTCGGGAGATATATAATTCCTTGATATAATGTATTGAGTTTCCTTTGAATTTTTAACCTATGTTTACATTCCGATATGTTACTAAAATCTTTTAGTCTATTTAGTAATTGTTTAAGTAGTTCAGAGGTGGTATTACTTTGTAATGTGTTGTGTATCGCTTGCTTGCGTTAGTTGAGTGTTATCAAGTTAACATCATTTAATTCAATCTGCCTTTACACAAGTCCTCGTTTAAATTGCCAGGTGATATTGTTCCGGTGGGCTGCTGGATTATATAATTTAAAATTGGTGTATTTAGGCAGCAAATATATATATATATATATATATATATATATATATTTAAATAAATTATTTGAGGTGCAAAATCGTAATATCGCAAGGAAAAAGTAATATGGGTTGTTTCTTAACGGCATTATGAAAATAATATAAGAAATAAGAGATGATAACTCTCACAAACAAACAGACCAACCAGTTTCGTTCCCAAGCTCATCAGGGTCAACTGGGAACTATTTCTCAATCTTACAGAATAAATAAGTCACACATACAACCTACATACAATTAAAACTAAAATTTTTTTTTTTTTTTTTAACTTATACACATATATATACTTTCCTTCTTTCTTTCTTTTTCCTTTCTTTTATGTTTTTTAAACTGTGCAAAAATACACAATAAACAAGAGAAGGAAGAAAAAAAAAAATTCTAATAAAATAATTATATATGTGTATATAACAGAGTGTGAGGGGAAAATTTGAAGCACACTAGAGGATAATGATATGAAGTCCAAGGAGACAGTCTTTTTGCTTACACAAAGATGGCTCCCTAGACCGAATATATAGAGACTCCAGTGCCTTCAAATGGAATAGAGAGTGCGAACTGGACAGAACAGTGAACCAATTCGGACTAAAGTTCTTCGCACAATTCCTACTATTTATTAGGTGCTCCGTAATCGCTGAACCGGAAGTGTTAACCAACTGACTTCTATTAGCTTCCGGATTGAGAACTCGTAATGGGACATGCTGCCTGATCCTACAATCTAGACGCTGGGAAGTCCTTCCTATGTAATTGCTACCGCAACCACATTTAAAAAAATAAATCACAGAAGAAACATGATGGGGGGGGGGAAGAGTATCCTTGCGCATAGAGGGAAAGGCAGACCTAGTCGCAAAATGAACAATTAATTGAGCTGAGAAAAAACAGTCATGGACGGCTGACGAGATACGCTTAGCCAACAGCTCACCTTGAGACCCAATAAATGGTAGCCGTAGATAAACAGGGCACTTCTGTATACTGTATTGTTTTTCCTTACGGAAATTATTGATTTTATCCCGCATAACCATATCAAGA